ACTCTGGAGTCATTCTAAAATATACGTAAAAGCGCTGTTCATCCAGCCGAAGTTGTGGCATCAAGGTATGGTATTCCCCAAATTTATTTCGTTCCAAGTTAATATCATGTACCCACTTCCTTCGTTTCCTAAACAAATTGAAAATATTTGTTTTATGTACTTCGTTAAACTTAATACATACCCAACTATCAAATGGCGTTAAATAAACATAACTTACCGTGCATTTTGTTCCTCTTCTAAAGCAAGAAATAGAAGTGCCTCCTCTTCTTCTGAAGACGAGCTCATTGCAAAAGGCAAAAATAAAATGTACGCAACCTGTCGAAACCTTCACGTTCGCGGAGCGAATAAGACGCTTTGGTATGAATAAACAGGCGAAACAGATTGCGAATTTCGCTCTGAATTTCATTGCGAATACTTCGCCGCGATTATTTCGCGCCGGTTTGTGGGATGCTTTAACAGGCGAAACAGATTGCGAATTTCGCTCTGAATTTCGTTGCGAATACTTCGCCGCGATTATTTCGCGCCGGTTTGTGGGATGCTTAATAACGTGCGACGAATACCCAGTTCTTGAGAAGGAGTTCTGGTAGACGTCTCAGGGCGCTTCACTATGCTTTCAAGAACTCTCTCGATATTTTCCGGAATACGAACAGTTCGAACACGGCCCAACCTTGGCAAGTCTTTAACTTCACCTGTTTGGTCAAATTTTTGCACCAACTGACGAATTGTGTTGATACTAGGCACTTGTCGTAGCTTACGAATCGTGGCAACAGTCGACTCATTATTTAAGTAAAACGGTTTAACAATACGGACGCGTTGTGGGATCGTGTAGCGCTCCATGGTGAATTGGACACATGTGCTTTACTACGGCGCAACCTACTGGAATGCGTGTATCAGTTATATATTGGCCACCCTGTATTATACGGGTTGTTGTGTGCTAGGCGCGCGTTCGTCGCGGAACGTGTGTGTATGGCCAGCGGTTGATATAATTTCATATCATAGTGCAAGAATCAGCTACCTGAAAACCATAGATACTAAAAATGTCACACACAATGTCACTGAAAAATATTGAAATTTATATCCGAAAAGTATTTTAAGCAATTACAGTCATTGTGTCTCTTATTGCCTTTTAATACCTTTTTTAATTCGACCTTATGTATTTCACAGTGAGAGTAACATGTTTTCTGTATAAGTGCTATGCCACTAGTTTCGCGACGTCAACGTTTCAATATGCTAATTCTACGGTTTTCATGTATATGAAAAAGGTCTCGAGACAGTCCCGTACATTACGTGCTTAAATGCTTCTCGCGTTACCCAAGCGAAATATGACCAGCTTTCTACTATTCAAAACATCCCCTTGTTATTTATAACGATGAAATACATATTTCCGCAGTAGGTACAAGCAACATCATCGGTATGATTTTAATCTAAACGTACATTTTATCTTGTCATGTTATTCGGTATTCAAAATTTGTGGCCTACCCTTAAGAAAAACCTATGTAGCTGCAGGGGTGAATGTATAAGACAAGAGTGGGGAGAACACCGTTCAAAGCAATCATCTTTTTCAAGATCAAGAAGCTCTCGAGAGTCTCGGGAGCAGGCCAAGGCAATTCCTGTGTAGTCAGCGTTATTCATAAAAACGCCCTTTCTGTTGCCTTTCCTTATGATGCTTCTCTTGCTGTCCCGTTTAGGCGGTCAAGGCTTTCGATTGTATAGCTCCCAACTCTCCTACGAGGGTTATTTGGTAAGAGGTTTACCGAAATTTTACCGATTTACACCGAACCGTAACTCAGCCTTAGACAATCGATATACCATGAAAATAGATGCTGATGATCCGCTTGGGTAGATACATTATATAGAGTGTTTCAAATTCGTCCCTCACCGTTGGTATCTCTGGATCTGTAAGAGATACAAAGTACAAAGGTAATCAACAAAATGCCGATTAGAAAGTTTCGAAATTCTGGAGAGAGACGGAAAAAACGAATTTTCACAAAATCGTTTTAATTTTTGCCTGATTTTAATTGTAGTGGGATGCCAAAATAAATTGCACATTAACATTGCGACTTTTTTCCTCTAGAATAATTATAATTACAATATGACATTTCGTCATTTGTCCTCCACAATCAACTTTATTGTTTCTTTAATTTTTGCGCAGATCATATAGTTTTTAATTCTGATTTGAAGAATATATCATAAGTATCACATTGGCATTGTCAAACCTTAGTTAGAAAAACAGACTTACCTATGTAATCCTTGAAATTGTCAGATTCCATTTTGTTTTGTATACCACACCAAACCTCAAATTGTACATAGCAACCGAGTTTGGAACAATGAGAAGAATAGAAATAAATCGAGTGAAGAGTGAAGAATATGCAGAGAAGAGTCAAGCTTTGCTAACACAATAACTGACATTTTAATCATCTGCCATGATTTATTTATAATTATTATTGTTGTTACCATCAATACAATTTTGATGTTATATTCATGTTTTACCGTACCATTTTATTTCCCTATAATTTTCATCCAACAACAAATTCGTGGCCAACTAAGGTCATACATCACTGAATTTAGGACTGAAAGGTTCATTTAAATGCACGAAATTCCAATATAGCGGCCATATGAAAAAACAAAGATGACGATGGAAGTAAAAAAAATGTCGAATTGAAAATTTGTACAACACCATCTTGTAAAGGAGAATAAGTAACAATGACAACGTGCAATTTATTTTGCAATCTCATCTCAAATAAAGTTGGGAAAAAATAAATGTGATTTTGGGATAAATCTGGTATGCGAAACAAATGACAATCTGATAATTTCAAGGCCTACCTAGGAAATTCTGCTTTTTTTGAACTAACTAAAATTTGTCAGTACCAATGTATCATGTATGATACATTTTTGGAATCGGAATTAAAAACTATTCATCTGTGCAAAAATCCAATATGGGGACCATAAGAAAAAATATAATTGTTGCTGACGTTCCACTGCAAATAAAGTCAGGAAAAAATTAAAACTATTTTGGCAAAATCCCATTTTTCCGGAAGTACTTTGAATATCGAGGGTCGAATTTGAAACATCCTGTATAGAATGTTTCCTGAGCACATGAGATAAAAGTTCAATAGGCAGCCTCGTATCTTCGGTAGAAATTGTTTTTTCGAAAATCTTAAGACACTACGCAGTCTTATAAAATAATCAAGAAAATCATCGCTATTGTACAGTTTTCGTGAAACACACTGTATATAAGGCTTTAGATGTCGGGGCTCTAAATTGTATGACTCTTTTTACAGCTGAGTCAACAGGTTATGGATTTAAAGTATAAATGATCAAATCGGTGAAGTGTAAAAAAATTGATACCCGATATGCGAAGTATTTTATTTTTATGAAAATGAAACCAAACAGATACGCCATGTTATGGCTTGATGAGAGTTTTAGGCAAGCACGACGGCGCATGGCTTCTCATGACGCAATTTAGGATACACTACACTTGCTTCATAGTCATCCAACCATATTATCGTTATAACACAATCACATTAAATGATATTACAATTTCTAAGGGTTAGTTTATAGATCAGGTGGTTTTGAACCTTGGAATTAGTGGATACCATCGAAAAAGGATAATGTTATAGAAATAAAAAATGAACGATGGAACAATCATATTTCTTCAGACCTGATTTGTCAACTATCTCTTAACGTCAACAGGAAAATTAATGCATTGCTATATAGCAAAACTACATATATAAGGTACCTGTACCGAATAAGGCAAAGCACCTAATAAGGCCATGCTTCGATTTTACAGAAACTACTCGTATTAATATTTAAAATCAAAGATTTCTGCTGTTCTACAAATTTATTGAGAGCAGTTAGCAGCCATAAATTCAGCAGCTGTGGAGCGGCGCTAGATGACGCGGTAGGACAACATCGGTTCTCAAGATGTGTCTTATAAAATTTCTGATTTAAATTTGTCTCGGTTTTTGCATGTTGTCGGCTTCTTTTTGCGGAATCTCTTGTTAATTCAATCAGGTAAGTCTAAAAGGCATATGCAGGTAGTTATTCGCTGTTGCCAGGTTTTAAAAATTTTCATTTTCGTAAATTGTACAGGTATATTTAAGGTTAGATGTGCGTAACAAGGTCATGTTAAATAGTTCCCAGAAGAATAAAGACAAAAACTGGTACTGTTTCATATGTGATCAGGATGAAATACGTGACATGCGTCTGTGTGTAATATGCTTAAAATATGTCCGTGAGGAATGTGTAGGCTTGTGTAGAAGCGATAAGGTATCGTTTCTGTTTGACATCAATGCGAAGGCAAAAACAAGTTGATTTTTTTACTTGAAATCTATCTGGATTTAAGAATTATTTATTATTGTTAATTAGAAATATAAATTCGTTTATTCAAGAGTCTTGTTTTATATTTTGTCCGTGCCTTTATTAAGCACAAGATCATGGCCCTATTTGGATACGTGGGTTCCTAATAAAGCCAACGGTAATGTTTCAAAAAATGTATATTTTTTATATGAAAAGAAAAGTTTTCGGGGCTATCCGATACAGCTTATTCACTGGACATACCTATAATATTGCCTTTAAAATTTCACGATCGAATATTTATGGAGTTACGGCAATCCAAACGTTAACGTAGCCTTATTTGGTACAGGTACCTTACTTATGTGATACATCAGTTTGAAATCAGTGTGAAGTGTTCGTAAGATGATAAGTTACTTGAACAAATAACAACTCAAAATAATATTCAAATAAGGACAATTTTGTCTTATACTACGACACCGATAGTTGTGTTTAACAACGATCATACCCAAATTCTTAAGCTGAGATCAAGTTGCGCTGATTTTCTGCTCTTTAGTCAATTAGACTTGTTATAAGGTAGTCAGTAAAAAATATTAATTCCTGTTGGCGCTTATAAAAAATATCTATAAAATACAAAACCTAGTCCAGCTGGTGCTGCACAGCTAGAGTAGAGAATGTGTACGTAGAGCAAACGCTTTGGATTGCAGGGGCGATCTGGCCCGAGTGCAGGCCTTTGCCCAGGCCGCCGAGACAGGCCTAGCGACAATGATCGGATCTCCGTAAGTCATCGTGTTGTCATCGACATAACTGTTGTGTGTGCTTGTATTCTACATTCTGCGTCAATCATTCACTGTAGACACTATAAGGAATTGATCTCCTGCTCTTGAAAATGTTAAGTTTTTATGGTGGTATAACCCCACCTTCTGAGATTCAGGCGCCTCAAAATGACTCACATAATCATAAATGGCCAAACATTTTCTTTTCGTTTTTTTGATGATGATAAAATGACTAAAGTTTGTCCATCTGTGCATCTTTAATACCAAACTAGTATATTGTTTGATGGTGGATCAGTTTCTTATGCACCCAGTACAAATATATGAATCAACGTTGCTTTTGCCAATCGTTCTATAAAAACAACATTGTAGGCAACATTTCTGATTGAAGACAATTACGTAGTTTTCTAAGTATTGTCAATTAATTATATTACTTGTACCGCCCACATTTCAAATAATGCAGACTATTTCTTTAGTCAGAAATTTGTTTGCAATATTGTAAACATTAAGTCATGCTTTAGCTGTTCCCCTCAAAATGTCTTAAAAGTATCTTGATGTTGTAGTATAATTTAGAGAAATTATTAATACGGAGGTAGGGTGTGTTGATTATATCTTTAATGTTTTCTTTTTCAGCATGTTCTAAAAATACTGTAATAACCACTTTAAATTATCATATTGAAAATTAGAAGTATAGATAGAAGCATTTAAATTCTCTTCTTCTTATTCTTATGAAAATTCACGAATGTTGGTGAATTATATCACTGAGATCAAACGGGCTGTTTGATTGGCAAAAGTGAATATATCTCACATGCTAGCCATCAAAAAACAAAGAAAAAAAACGCTACCTCAATATCTCCACACAAGGAACTACGCCGCACAAAGTTTAAAATGAATATTTTAATGTACCGGGTCATTAATAAAGGACACAGGCTGTATCTCGGCAACCCCTCAACCTAAAGACTTCAATCAGTTAAGCAAATTTATGATGAAAGGGGCGAGAAGAAATTGGCGGAAATTATTTTCGGCTTCCTAAAATGGCCCCTAGATTGCGTCATTCTAATTTCAAAAATTCAAACGCGATTATTTTGCAAAAATTCATAATTACTTTCTGAACATGCCGTTTATGTTAGGTGGATTGGAAGAGGAAGTCCATTTCCTTGGACAACCCGGTAATTTTTGGGACTACCTCTATTTCTAAAGTAGTACAAACTCTATGATTTCATTTTAGATCCCTTGACATGACCTGCCTAGATTCTTATGTATGGGGCAGAATTAAATATACTGTTTATAGAACACACGAACTTCACGGCAAAATATAACTGGGCGCGAAAGAAATGCCATTTAACAAATTCCTGCTGCGAAAGTCGAAACTGTTGATGCAACGCGTAGAAGGGAACAACTATGCATCGATCATGATGGAAAGCAGTTTTAACACTTGACCAGATATTGAACAACTCCCTTTCCGCTGAAAAATCAAATTGATTTTTTTTAGTACCACATACATATTTGGAAAAAATATTAATTAAAAAGTCAGTTTATTCTTTATATGTTAGATATGGCATACTATAATTTCTTAATACTATTTTAAACTATATAGCCGCTAAAATATTACAATAAATGTAACATATCTCATAACTCACGCCCTTAGGACCGGTATTTCAATCGCAAGTTATGTATCTTTCTGGTCAGTTAACTATAACCAGGAAGTTAACTTGTAGTTGTCTGAAAATGCGTTTTTTTATCAGAAGGTCGTCATAGGTGTATATCTATCTTCCAACCCTGCATCTGCGGTTCGTATATATCGTGTTATGTGCATTTTGTGGGTTCAGCGTCTTCTGTCATACTCATATACGTCTTACGTGTCATACATGACAGCTTGTCCTTTTTTATATGAAATATTGTAAGATTTTCGAAATTTGAATAAAACCTTCGTCAAGCAAGGTAAGATTTTTCAAGCATTGCTTGCACAAATGTTTAGTTGTCGACTCTATAGGCGGGATTATAGAAATGGTGATAAAAACAGATGGTAAATCCAGTGTCTAATCAACCTTTCATAGGTCACAAAATACGCTAAAAATACAATAATTGTATAAATACAATTATTATATCTATAAATATCTATTAAATATCATGTTTGTTACCATTTTGAGCATCACTTCTACAATCGACGACCTAAAAATAAAGGTCTTCAGCAGCAGAGAAAAAAATATTACTCCAGCTGCTAAAATTTACCAAAAACTGTTTTCTAGCATGGAGAAAGAGAACATCAAAAAAGAGCTCAAAATTTCCCAAAAGATGTACTGATTATTGGTCAGTGAAAACAAAAGTATGATAGAGAGTAAAAGAAGTGACAAAGTTTCCTGGAAAGAGAAATGACCTGTTATTACAGTCCCCTTTGTAAGACGGAACTTTGCAAGGTCTTCTTGCCTCTTCGTATTCACGTCATAAGCCATAAACATAGATATGAACTGTAAATTTTCAAATAAACGGCAAAGACTGCACTAACAAACGTCAGATACAGTCTTTCTAGTTAACTTATAGATGGTCTTCTGGTTAAGATTAACTACCGTTCTTTTACAAACATGATTTTGAAAAACGCTTATTCATAAATACACGGTTATGATTCATTTGCGACTGAAACACCGGGCCTTAGCGACTCTAAATAGGAGAAATGGCTAGAAAACACGGTATTTTATGAATTACTCATATTGTAGGGACAGCTGATATTGAACACGAGGTATAACTGAAGAAAGAATGTTTTTCATATATCAAGCGATAGCTGCGGTTATGAAAAAGCGAAAATATAAATTTTAAAGTGAAATATCTAAAAATCATCTCATATTAGTACATTTTACACAACTATTCATAGCATTAATCCCTCTTCTTATCCAGCACTACTTGAATATTGGAATCACGATTTTATACAATTTGTTATGTACTTGTATTCGAAATTTTCTAAATAATTGAAAAAAACGCATGACACATCCACAAAGCGCCGTCTAGCGGTCACAAAATTAAATAATCTGACAAGATTGAGTACTTATTAGGAAGGTAGGTGAATACTTTTTAAAACGGAACCTAGATTATTGAAATCGGTGCAGACAAGCAGTAAACACGAAGAGGCTCTTAGTGAGTAAGTAAATTATAGATTTTTGCAAAATCATGGCGTTTAGTTTTTGAAATTCGAATGACTACCTAGCGGTCATTCTAGGAAGCTGAAAATACACTCCAGCAATTTCTCTTTTTTTTATTGTAAAATGTCTTGTCCCATAGCTCTAGGTTGTTTATTATTGACCCATCTGGTATAAGTAGGCTTTGTAATTTCTGCACGACTATTAAGGTATTAAGACTTGTTTGGAGTAGGTTCTTGTATATTGCTTGGTTCCTATAAAAGTGGCATATTTTGTACAGTAACCGTGATAAGCACTAACGGATGCCGTAAAAGTTGTGACACAAAATACATTGGCTTTAATTTTAACAAACACAAAATAATATCAAGTTGTCTTTGGAAACAAAAGTTTGTTTGATTACTTTACTGTCAGTTGACATTTATTTAATTTGAAGTTTTCGCTTTCAGATGTCGTATAAATTAGAAATAAGATAAAGTATCTACCTAGAAGTTTGTTGGCGGGTATTCAAAGCTGAAATCTGTCGAATATTCCAGATTGAAAATATTTCACGCATATCTATTTATCGAACAATAGCGGAGTGCGAGCAGGGAATACCGTGTCGGAATCTCCCAGACGGCGAATTTATGAAACTGAGGGAAATTGATCTGAATTCCGTCCAGAACCTCATGAGATACATTCCAAGAAAGTTGCATCTGGTAGAGGAGAATGGGCGACTCCACATAATTCGATAGTATATTTTAGTTTAATATTGAGTTGAAATTTATGATAACTAGTTAGTGTTTAAATAGGTTTCTTGATTAAAAAAATTCGATAAATATTTTGTGCCACAACTTTTAGGAAATACATTAAGTTCTTTATTTCCTTATGCTAGCCAAGAATTATCGTTTGATACGTTACTTGTAAGACGGATTAAATTGGTGAGGATTATTTTTATGACTATAAGTCGCACACGTCTGTTCTCCTCATACCTTAAAATCTACTACTTTGTATTATTGTTAAAATCATTTTATTTTTTGCATCACAATGACAAACTAATTGCCATCTTAGTGGAAGTAAAGTTACCAATAGGAATTATCAGTAATAATTCAACAACGCAGCCTTCTTTTAAAAATAACTAAGGCAAGTCTTATATTTTAGAATTCTTTTATAATCAACGTTGATTTTTCCTGTAAAAAAACGCTCCCTTATTCCCCTTAGACTTCTTTTCAGCTTTACTCTTTAGAGGATTTAGCTTAATTAGCATCTGTGAATTTTACTAATTGGGATTGTCGCTCTGACTGAACGAGTTCTGCTCCGAAGAGATTTTCACGAAATTTGGTAAAGAGGATACCAATTAAGGCCTCAGTTTGTCGAAATTGGAATAGGAGTACACTGCTGTGTATATGTAGTAGACATTTGAAATTTATTCTTAAGGTTGAAAGTCATGGATTCCATGTTCCACAAAATCTTCATCACAACAGATAAAATCGGCAGACTGTACATAAGAGATGTTGATTTTCGTAACTTTCAGGTATTCGTTATTAATCGTTACTCTACTACTAAGAAATTATTTACTATATTCGTTGCTTTATTAACTGAGTAGTACGACTATTAACGGCAAGATTAAATACGTAAAACGATCTAGCATCATATAATGTCAAATATAAGTTATGATTTAGTTTAGTGTAAGGAAAACAACTTCCAAATAATATCATCTGCCAGATTATTTGAACCATAGTTGATATAGTATGCCGTACTTAATGAAAACATACCCTCAAGATTCATGCAAAATGAGTTAATGTGTTCTCGGAAATCAAAACCATATATTATGTCTTGTAAGAAAGTTAATCATTATATGAGCTTGTGGAAATTTAGAAAGCGCTTTTCCGATAAACT